TCCTTCTCCTTCTCCTTCTCCTTCTCCTTCTCCTTCTCCTTCTCCTTTTCTCTCTCTCTCTCTCCCCCTGTCTTTCCTGTAGGGGAGGGGGAAAGTGGAAAGGACAAAAAAAAGTTTAATAATTGAAAAAATAATTTAAAGCATAGACATAAAAACTGAAGGTGAATGCTGTGAAAATATAATGTCCAAGCATGGCCCTTGGGAAGAAATGTGAGAATGTCTCTCAGAGGCCCCTTCCTGCTGCTTCACAGAAGGAACACAGGATATAATGTCAGACTTTTTTGATGAGTTGGTCAGTTTTGCTAAACTGTTTTTTTTCCCTGCCCAGAGCCAATGAGGCTCAGTGGATACAGCACAGGGTATGGAGTCAGAATAGATCTGAGTTCAAATTCTGTCTCTAACACTTCCTAGCTGTGTGACCCTGGGAAAGTCTCTTCACTTCTGCCTGTCTTAGTTTCTTCATCTATAAAAGGGGGATAATAACAGCACTTTCCTCTTAGGGTTGTTGTGAGGATCAAATGAGATAATAATTGTGAAGTACTTAACATAGTGCCCGGCACATAGTAGGTATCAAACGAATATTTCTCCCCTTCTCTCTTTTTTATTCTTCACTCTAAGGAATAGCTTGGGGGGAGCAGAAGGGAGGAGGGGAAGATATACTGGGAAATATCGATGATATGTAAACAAAAGATAGCAATAAAAATATATTGAAAGAAAATGGGGGCAGCTAAATGGTGAGGGACAGCTAGATGATGCAGTGGATAGAGCACCAGCCCTGAAGTCAGGAGGACTTGAGTTCAAATCTGGCCTCAGACACATGATACTCACTAGCTGTATGACCCTGGGCAAGTCACTTAACCCCAACTGCCTCACCAAAAAAAAAAATTAATAGATCTGATAGTAAAGGTCAGGAAAACAGATAATGACACATGCCTCCTTCATCATGGCAGAGGTGGTGAACCACAGGGATAGAATACTATATACATTGTCAGATGCAGTTATTGAGCTAGATGTTTTTGCTTAATTATTTGTTGTTGTCATCACAAGAGAGGATTCAAGTGACTGTGACAGAAAGACAAAAGGTATCAATTATATATATATATATACATTTTTTTAAATAAATAAGATCTCAGTTTTTTTCCAAGTCTGACATTTGATGTCATTATTATTAATGATAATAATCATAATAATTCTGGTTGACATAGCTATGGCTGTGCTGAGAAAGAGCACAGAATGCATGCCCAGCTCCATGGGAGGTACCCTAGTCTAGCAAATGGGGGGTCCCCTAATTAACCCCATTACAGCTCTAAATGATAATAACAGCTAAAATTTATGTGGAGCCTATATCACCTCATTTGTTAATCATCACAAAAACCCTGGGAGGTAGGTATTGTGGTTTCCCTCCATTTTAGAAGATGAAGAAACTAAGGCTCGTTTTCCTTGCCCAGGATCATTCAGCAAACCAAGTAAATATGGGAATTCCAGAATCTCTAAAAAATCTAAACTTTAGTGAATGAAGAGATACCCAAAAGGAATGAGTAGGTGGCATCATGATGTTGATGAAGGCTCATGAGTAAGGAATGACATCAAAGACGTTATCTAGGAAATGTGTCACTCAGGAACTGATGGGCTGGTGATGGAGCAAAGAGAAGGGGAGCGGGTGGACAGTCTGAGCATGGCTGGCACAGAGCCCAACATCATGTTAAGAGACCCAAAGGCAGGATGGCTGCCAGCACCCAAGAGATCGTCCATGAAAGAATATGAGGAGTAGAAGGAATGGAAAGGTATTGCCACCTGTGCCCCTGGAGGGGGTACTCACACGGGTGTGATCTCAGCTCCACCGAAGATTGAAACTAGGGCGACATGAGGAGAGTTTGTATTTCAGTAGTGCCTTGAGGCTTACAAAGTGTTGTCCTCCCAGAAAGTTTGTAAGGTGGGTCTCACTCTACAGATGAGAAAAGTGAGGGTCAGAGGGTTGAAGGGACTTGTCCTGGGTTATTTCATTCATTCATTTACTTCCTTTGTAAAGAGATAGTCAACCTGAGACTAAAAATAAAGTCTTCTAATTCTGATCATCAGAGCTCTTTATATTCTCAGGCCCCTCCCACCTCTGACATACTGTATTCTAAGGGTCCTTACAGCTCTGACACTTTGTGTTCTAAAGGCCCTCCCAACCCTGACATCCTGTGTTCTAAGGGCTCTCCCATCTATGACATCCTGTGTCCTAAGAGTCCTCCCAGCCCTGCCGTCTTGTGTTCTAAGGGCCCTCTCAGCCCTGCCATCCTGTGTTCTAAGGGCCCTCCAGGCCCTGACATCCTGTGTTCTAAGGGTCCTTACAGCTCTGACATTCTGTGTTCTAAAGGCCCTCCTGACTCTGACACCTGTGCTCTAGGGTGGTATAGCGGATAGAGTATAGGGCCCAGAGTTAGAAAAACCCCCGAGTTCAAATCCAGACTCACATGATTACTAGTTATGTGACCCTGGGGAACTCACCAAACCTTTATCTACCTCAGTTTCTTCAACTGTAAAATGAGGATCACAATAGCACCTACCTCTCAGGATTGTTGTGAGGATCAAATATTTGTAAATCAATCAATTATTCAATAAACCTTAAGAGCCAACTATGTGTACTGGGTTGCTAAGCCCTGGGGATAAAAAATAAAGGGGAAAAGACAGTCCCTGCCCTCAATAAGCTTATAATCTAACAGAAGAAATGGCAACCAAACAAATATAAACAAAGCAAGCTATATACAGGATAAACTGGAAATAATGAACAGAAGGAAGGTGCTGGAATGAAAAAAAGTTGGGAAAGACTTCCTGTAAAAAAAGAAATTTAAGTTGGAACTTAAAGGAAGTCAGGGGGGTCAGTAGGCAGAGTGGAAGAGGAGGAGCATTCCAGGCCTGGGGACAGCCAGAGACAATGCCCAGAGCCAGCAGAGGGAGGGCCTTGTCTATGGGGCAGCCAGGAGTCCAGGGCCACTGAATGGAAGAGTGCCGGTTGGGGTAAGGTTTAAGAAGACTGGAAACATAGAAGGGAGCTAGGTTATGGAAGGTTTTGAATGAAAAATAGTCCTGGAGGCAATAGGGAGCCACTGGAGATTATTGAATAGGGGAGTGACATCATTGGACCTGTGCTTTAGGAAAATCACTCTAGTGACACTTAACACAGTAACTGGCATACTGTAGGCACTTAATAAATGTTTGTTGTTTTCCCCCTCCCAGGGACCTTCTCAATTTTTATATTCTCTGTCTTAAGAGCCCTACTAGTTCTGATATTCTAAGTTTTTGAAGACTCCCTCCCTCCAAGTACTTCAGGGCAAGATGGATGCCTGAATGCAGGCCAACTTCCTAACTCCTACATACCTACTCCAGCAAAAACCTGAATTTGCACCTGACAGAGTAATAATCAAAAAACCCAATGAGAAACTAACTACAGTAAGTGATTCTTTTCCTCCTACAACTGCACCAAAAGTCAGCCAAATCCTACCAATAGCGAAGGTGCCGGCCAAGCTAGCAGAGTGGAGGCAAACAAGTGGGCAGCTTCCCAGTGAGACCAAAGCCAGGGGAAGTTCAGGGCTCTATTCTGGAGGCAGCAAGAGCAGAGACTTCCCACCCCTCCAAAAAATCCCAAAGATGTCAGAAAGCTCCAGGGTGGAGACCTTGGAAGTCCCGGGGAGTGGCAGCCATCAGTATGTAGCAGTAAGTACTCAGAAGGTAAAACCACAGCCACCCAGATACTCCAAGG